GAGTCATGTGACTTGGACTCGAGTCAGACTCGAGTCATGAATTTGATGACTTCAGACTCGACTTGGACTTGCATAACAATGACTTTGTCCCACCTCTGAGATGTGGACTCGAGTCATGTGACTTGGACTCGAGTCAGACTCGAGTCATGAATTTGATGACTTCAGACTCGACTTGGACTTGCATAACAATGACTTTGTCCCACCTCTGAGATGTGGACTCGAGTCATGTGACTTGGACTCGAGTCAGACTCGAGTCATAAATTTGATGACTTCAGACTCGACTTGGACTTGCATAACAATGACTTTGTCCCACCTCTGAGATGTGGACTCGAGTCATGTGACTTGGACTCGAGTCAGACTCGAGTCATAAATTTGATGACTTCAGACTCGACTTGGACTTGCATAACAATGACTTTGTCCCACCTCTGCCCCCTGCGTGTCCCCCCCCCCACCCCCCCCGTTAGCGAGGGTACCCGTGTTGTCAGGCATCGAGGCCTGGTCCGTATTCCTCTCCTTCTTGAACTCGATGTTGCCGAACTGGAGCACGGCCGACACCACTTTGAAGATGGCTGCACGGCACGGAGAGACAGAGCGGGAAGCACGCTGGTCACCATCTGGCGTTGTGGAGTGACTCAGGTGGGTCGATGGGTGGGTGGGTGGGTGGATGGGTAGATGGGTGGGTGGATGGATGGGTGGGTGGATGGATGGGTGGGTGGATGGGTGGGTAGATGGGTGGATGGGTAGAGGGGTGGATGGGTAGATGGGTAGATGGGTGGATGGGTGGGTAGATGGGTGGATGGGTAGATGGGTAGATGGGTGGATGGGTGGGTGGATGGGTAGATGGGTGGGTGGATGGATGGGTGGGTGGATGGGTGGGTAGATGGGTGGATGGGTAGATGGGTGGATGGGTAGATGGGTGGGTGGATGGGTAGATGGGTAAATGGGTGGATGGGTGGGTAGATGGGTGGATGGGTAGATGGGTAGATGGGTGGATGGGTGGGTGGATGGGTAGATGGGTGGGTGGATGGGTAGATGGGTAGATGGGTGGATGGGTGGATGGGTGGGTGGATGGGTAGATGGGTGGATGGGTGGGTAGATGGGTAGATGGGTGGGTGGATGGGTAGATGGGTGGATGGGTGGGTGGGTGGATGGGTAGATGGGTGGATGGATAGATGGGTAGATGGGTGGGTGGGTGGTTAGATGGGTATATGGGTAGATGGGTGGATGGGTGGGTGGGTGGATGGGTAGATGGGTGGATGGGTAGATGGGTGGATGGGTGGGTGGGTAGATAGGTAGATGGGTGGGTGGATGGGTAGATGGGTGGGTGGATGGGTAGATGGGTAGATGGGTGGATGAGTAGATGGGTAGATAGGTGGGTGGATGGGTAGATGGGTGGGTGGGTAGATGGGTGGATGGGTGGATGGGTAGATGGGTAGATGGGTGGGTGGGTAGATGGGTAGATGGGTAGATGGGTGGGTGGGTAGATGGGTAGATGGGTGGGTGGATGGGTAGATGGGTGGGTGGATGGGTAGATGGGTAGACGGGTGGGTGGATGGGTAGATGGGTAGATGGGTGGGTGGATGGGTAGATGGGTGGGTGGGTAGATGGGTGGGTGGGCAGGTGGATGGGTGGGTGGGTGGCTATCGGGGTACAGAGATGGTGGGTGAGTGTTTAGGTGGGTGGGTGGATGGGGGCAGTTGTGAGGGTATAGAGGTGGGTTGGTGGGTAGATGGGTGGGTGGGTGGTATGGTGAATGGGTGGGTAGATGCGTGGGCACGTAGATGGGTGGGTGGGTGGGCAGGTGGATGGGTGGGTGGGTGGCTATTGGGGTACAGAGATGGGTGGGTGAGTGTTTAGGTGGGTTGGTGGATGGGGCAGCTGTGAGGGTATAGACGTGGGTGGGTAGATGGGTGGGTGGGTGGATGGGTGGGTGGGCAGGTGGATGGGTGGGTGGGTGGCTATTGGGGTACAGAGATGGGTGGGTGAGTGTTTAGGTGGGTGGGTGGATGGGGGCAGCTGTGAGGGTATAGAGGTGGGTTGGTGGGTGGGTTGGTGGGTGGAGATGTAACTGGGTGACCCAGGTTACGCTTGCACACGATACTATAGCCTGCTCCATTGAGTTCACACCTGCTGAAATAATTTTCTTGCTGTGGATTTCACACCTGATGATGATTGCTTGTTTTGCAGTCGAAACGTCGTCAGAAATTTGTATTGTTTAATATTTTTATAATATTATTATTTCCATTCTACGTGCCTTTACCGAAAGAACCAAGAAGATGAATCATTGCAGTCACGAAAGCTTTAAATCGAAAGGTATGGTATAATCTTGATTTGAAGCTTTCGTGACTGCAGGAATCCATACGCCTTGGTTCTTTCGGTAAAGTCACGTAGGTAGAAAAATGAAATGAAACCAAAATAATTGTATTAAAAATTTTTAATTAATAAATACATTTTTTTAAAAGATAAAATACAACAAGAATTATTTGATTTCAAAAATGAAATAAAACCAAAAAAAATATTTTAAAGATAAAATAAAACAAAAACTAATTTATTTTAAAAATGAAATAAACACAAAATATTTTTATAAAAAAAATGAAAGAAAACAAAAAAAGTATTTTAAAAAGAATTTTTTTTTAAAATAAAATAAAACAAAAATAATTGTATTTTATATTTCTACCTACGTGACTCTACCGAAAGAACCAAGAATATGAATCCCACTATGGGAACCTCATTTGCCAGTAAAAATATGATAATTGTTTTTTTTTACCCTTCTATCTGGCAACAAAACTGACACCTTTTTACAAGGAGTCATGTTTGCAGTGCGCCTTTTGGCGTCATCTGGTCCAACCCATGTGAGACTAGGCTCTAAGGAAAGTTGTCTCGGGTGTGGACCAATCAACTTCAAGGACAGTGCATACATTATCAGAGTTATGTTTTTTGTTTGCATTATGACTGCAGGTATTGCGGTCTATGCAAACATGACTCCTTGTAAAAAGGTGTCAGTTTTGTTGCCAGATAGAAGGGTAAAAAAAAAACAATTATAATATGAATCCCTGCAGTCACAAAAGCTTTAAATCCAAACAAAGTTCAAGTTTAGTTTGAGTGTGGTGCAAGGTGCCCGATGCGATGGACCCACAGCTGAGATCTTCCTGGCTGATGCCCATGATGGACATGGCATCGACGGTCTCAATGAGCATCTCCTGGTCCGACTGGCCAGGTACGGGCACGTAGCCGAAGGACATGAAGTGATACTTGTTGAACTCCTCCAGCAGGAACTCCTCTGCTCGCACGCACGCAGACACACACACAGACACACAGACACACACACACGCACACAGACACACACACAGACACACACGCGCATGCACACAGACACACACACAGACACACACACAGATACACACACACACGCAAACACACACACACGCACACAGAGACACACGCACACACGCACACACACAGAGACACACACGCACAGACACACACACGCAGACACACGCACACACGCAAACACACACACACGCACACAGAGACACACGCACACACACAGAGACACACACGCACAGACACACACACGCAGACACACGCACACACGCACGCACACAGAGACACACACACGCACACAGACACACACACGCACGCACACAGACACACACGCGCACGCACACAGACACACACACAGGCACACACGTACACAGGCACACACACGCACGCACGCACACAGACACACACACACGCGCACACAGACACACACACAGGCACACACGCACGCACGCAGAAACACAGGCACACACACGCACGCGCACAGACACACACACACACGCACGCACACAGACACACGCACAGGCACACACACACGCACGCACACACGCGCCAGTAATTACAACCAGCTTCATCAGGCGACAGCCAGATTTGGATTGTAAATGTTGTGGCTTGGCTCTCCAACACACCGGTGTGCTCTACTAGTTTACTACACTATACACTACTATACACTACACTATACACTACTATACACTACACTACTACACTATACACTACACTATACACTACACTATACACTACACTATACACTACACTACTATACACTACACTATACACTACACTATATACTATACTATACACTAGTGCTGTACTAGTATACTACACAATACACTACACTATACACTAGTGCTGTACTAGTACACTACACTATACACTACACTATACACTACACTATACACTAGTGCTGTACTCGTGACGAATTGGCAACGTTCTGTTTACGTGACAACCCTCACTAGTTGGCTGTGTCGGGTGGTGGCGGGTTTCACGACACATTTACATATCCACGCGATCTAACCCCCCAAAATAAGTATAACCAGTAAAAACAAAGTTTTTCACTATAAATCCTGTATATGCGTGGCGGCTAGAGTCCTCTCGTCCTCTGGCTTGAGATGGCTGCCGCCTATGGGTCAGATGATTTCATTGCACCATTAAGCAATTGGTAATTAAATATAATATTTTTGTCCTAAAAAGTGTAAAATTTTGGAAACATTTTTCCACGAACATGAATTGTCACGCACAACGAGTCTGTGTGGAAAAATGTCAGCTCGACTGGATCACGGGAAGTGGGTTAAAAAACGACCGAAAGATTTGCACGGTCCTAAGCAAGCAAGCAAGCGAACTTAATGTAAAGGATTTAAAAAATTCCTCTATTATGGATAATATTGCTCGCAAAAGTCTACGACTACTACTACTCCGTGTTTAATTGACGGTGACACCCTTCGGATTCTTACCCTTCTGCTTATCGTTGGCTCCGGCGACGAGGTAGTAGAAGATGTGGAAACTCCGTTCGTCCCTCGCCTGACGCACTGCGCGAGATTTCTCCAGGAGGTCTGAGGGCGCCGTCAAGGAGTTGTTGTTGTTGTTGTTGTCGTTTGTTGTTGTTGTTTACTCGAAGCGAACTCACCGCTTGAAAAGGAGGGCCCACAAGAAATGAGACTTTTGTGTCGAGCGGATTTTTATTTTCTTGTTATTGGGCCGACTTAGGTCAGCCGCACGTGCAGAGCAACGAGATCGCATTGAACTCACTCTGTTGTTGTTGTTGTTGTCGTTGTTGTGTTGTCGTTGGTTGTTGTTGTTGTTTACTCAAATCTTGTAACTCAATTTTAACCCACTTCCCAATGTGCTATCGACTGCAGACTTGGTATGCTTGTGTCATATTGATGACAATACTATATTCTATCATAAAAAATAATATATATTTTTAAACATTCTTTTTGAGATGTTATGTTTCGGCTTGGGTCTAATCGTCCACGGTCAACTGACGTTGGCTGTAATTGGCCACGTCTCTTACGTTACGGCAAGCTTCGGGGAAACTTACAATCTAAATTTGAAACCGAATCTCCAGCCATTTCTTGCGTAAAATATTTAAAAACTCACTAACACACGGGATGGACTTTTTATTTATTTTTTACAACAATGTCTAATAGTGTATTGTATTATATTGCTCTGTTTGAAATGTTTTAGCTTTTCTTGTGTCATTGTATGTAATGGCAGAGATTAGGGATTTATAATAAAGTACAACCATAACCACAATCATATAAATAGAAATCTATTTTATAGCAATATATTTGTGGGATATTTTGAGCATCTACCCCCCCCCCCCCCAAACCCTCTACCATGGTGAACACAGTGCCAGCTAGATCACCGATTCTGGTCTTCTGCACACGCACAGACAAAGCTCCCCCGTGTAGCCTTAACAGACTGTAGGGGCAAGTGCTGTTAGCGAGTAGCACCTATGAAGGCCGGAACGGTACACGTAGGGGGGTGGGTGGCCAGCACCACGCCCGACCGCCTTTGTCTCCCCAGTGGCGACGTTTACGCACCGCATCAGGTACTCATTTGAGGCTGAGTCGACCTAGGGGAGGCCCAGGACCGGTTCGGATAATCGTCACCGGGTTCGTAGCGCAGCGTAGCGCTAACCGCTACACCACCGCTCCCCACAACTCACCATCCCATTCATATGCGTTAGCGTGCACACACAAACAAAGATCCCCCGTGTAGCCTTAACAGACTGTAGGGGCAAGTGCTGTTCGCGAGGAGGAGCACCTATGAAGGCCGGCACGGCACACGAGGGAGTGGGTGGTCATCAATAACCACGCCCGGCCGCCTTTGTCTCCCCAGTGGCGATGTTTACTACACACCGCACCCAACACAGACTGATTCACACACACACAGACAAAGCTCCCCCGTGTAGCCTTCACATCCTGTTGGAGCAAGTGCTGTTAGCGAGTATCAGGGCTTATGAAGACTGGCACGGCACACGAGGGGGTGGGTGGCCAGCACCACGCCCGACCGCCTTTGTCTCCCCAGTGGCGATGTTTACTATATACCGCACCAGGTACTCATTTCATGCTGAGTCGACCTAGGGGAGGCCCAGGACCGGTTCAGATAATCGCCACCGGTATTGGCACGCACATACACAGAGACGTACACGTAGACAAAAGCTAAAGACAAAGATCCCCCGTGTAGCCTTAACAGACTGTAGGGGCAAGTGCTGTTAGCGAGCACCTATGAAGGCCGGAACGGTACACGGGGGGGTGGGTGGCCAGCACCACGCCCGACCGCCTTTGTCTCCCCAGTGGCGATGTTTACACACCGCACCAGGTACTCATTTAAGGCTGAGTCGACCTAGGGGAGGACCAGGACCCGTTCAAATAATCGTCACTGGGTGTTGGCCGTGAGCGGGAATCGAACCCGGGTAGATGGGTTCATAGCGCAGCGTAGTGCTAACCACTTCATCACCGCTCCCCCACAACACATACACACACACAGACACACACACACATACACACACATACATACAGACACACACACAGACACACACATACGCACACAGACACACACACACAGACAAACACACACATACACACACACAGACAAACACACAGAAACACACATATACACACACACAGACACACACATACACACACACATACACACACAGACACACACACAGACATACACACAGACACACACACAGACACACACACATACACAAATACACATAGACACACACACAGAGACACATACACACATACACACAGACACACACACACACACACGAGGCATATCCTAGCTTCACCGCACGACTGAGTCTTTGAACAGCAGTGAACCAATGATCGTGACGATTAGATGTACTCGCGTCCGATATGGCTCCCAATTACTTTCTAAAAAAAAAGTCCCGTAAATAGAAAACAAAAAAATCTGCAAAAAAAATGAAAAATGCAAAAATCAAAAAAGAATCATTTTTAAAAAATAGCAAAAAAAATTGCATTCTGCCCGCGGCGATTGAAACGAGGCTTGGTTTGGAAGGATACAGGTCTCGATATTTGCCCCCACGATGTATCCCGTCACGTCGAAGTTGATCTTGATGAACTTGCCCTGGTGGTGGGAGGGGTCGGAGGGCACGTGGGTGACAATATTCAACATTTAAACCCCCTTCCTCCCTCCCGCGCGCGCACGCACACAACAACAACAAAGATGTTTACGTGTTTCTTGATTTTTGTGACAATTATTATTATCATTATTAATTCACGGGATGGAGAAACGTGTTTAGCTGCTGCCGAGGAAGGAGGCATGGGAGTGGGGGGGGGAGGTAAATTAAAGAAAATCACACACACACGCACGTACACACGCACGCACGCACGGTAGTACACACACACACGCACGTACACACACACGCACACACGCACGCACGGTCGTACACACACACACGCACACACACACGCACGCACGGTCGTACACACACACGCACGTACACACACACGCACGCACGGTCGTACACACACACACGCACGTACACACACACACGCACACACGCACGGTCGTACACACACACACGTACACACACACGCACACACACACACGCACGGTCGTACACACACACACGCACAGTCGTACGCACGCACGCACACACACGTACACACACGCACGCACAGTCGTACACACGCACGTACACACACACGCACACACGCACGTACACACACACACGCACGGTCGCACGCATAAAGCTACGGGTGGCGTTTGGAGTTCGTCGATTGTAAGAAAAGTTGTAGCCTGCCACGTTGACATCAGTGGCAGGAGAAGACATCTGAGCTCCACCCTGCCACGGTGACATCAGTGGCAGGGGGAGACATCTGAGCTCCACCCTGCCACGTTGACATCAGTGGCAGGAGAAGACATCTGAGCTCCACCCTGCCACGGTGACATCAGTGGCAGGGGGTGACATCTGAGCTCCACCCTGCCACGGGTGACATCTGAGCTCCACCCTGCCACGGTGACGTCAGTGGCAGGGGAGACATCTGAGCTCCACCCTGCCACGGTGACATCTGAGCTCCACCCTGCCACGGGTGACATCAGCGGCAGGGAGAGACATCTGAGCTCCACCCTGCCACGGGTGACATCAGTGGCAGGGGGAGACATCTCAACCTGCCATGGGTGACATCAGTGGCAGGAGCTATCTGAGCTGCAGCCTGCCACGGGTGACGTCAGTGGCAGGGGGTGACATCTGAGCTCCACCCTGCCACGGTGACATCTGAGCTCCACCCTGCCACGGGTGACATCTGAGCTCCACCCTGCCACGGGTGACATCAGCGGCAGGAGCTATCCGAGCTGGTGGCAGCATTGGCGCAGGGCACGACGCTTCACCACCGCTCGATTTCATGCCACGATGACGTATCGTGTAGAAGCGCGTCGCTCTCCACTGCGTTCGCCTGCATTCAGCTGTATCGCCGTGTAGCTGCCAGGGTTTGTTTAGTCAGGAACAAGCCACTCCTATTACCCCCTACCACCACCAGCACCAGCACCACCTCACAAACAAGTTGTTAACATCTCAGCATTCCTCATGAGCCCGTGCCATATAAGGCTCACAGAGGAGACCCAGAGGACAGCTTGCTGCAGCACATACATACACACTCACACACACAGACTCAGATACACACACATAGACACACACACAGACACACACACACACAGACTCACACACAGACTCACACACACATACACACACACTCACACACACAGACTCACATACACAGACACACACACATACACACACAGACTCATAAAAAAAAACACAGACACAAAACAAAGCAAAGCACACAGATACACACACATACAGACACACACATACAGACACACAGACACACACAGACACACACACACACTCACACATACAGACTCACACATACACATACAGACTCAGATACACACACAGACTCACACACACACAGACTAACACAGACACACACACGCACAGACACACACATACACTAGAATATCAAAGACAAGATCCCCCGTATAGCCTGTAACAGACTGTTGGGGCAAGTGCTGTTAGCGAGCACCTATGAAGGCCGACACGGCACACGAGGGAGTGGGTGGCCAGCACCACAGCCCGACCGCCTTTGTCTCCCTAGTGGCGATGTTTACTACACACCGCACCAGGTACTAATTTGAGGCCGAGTCGACCTAGGGGAGGCCCAGGACCGGTTCAGATAATCGTCACCGGTGTTGGCCGTGAGCCGGAATTGAACTCGGGTCGCCGGGTTCATAGTGCAGTGCGCCTACCGCTACACTACCACACACAAAGATAAAGACAAAGATCCCCCGTATAGCTTGAACAGATTGTAGGGGCAAGTGCTGTTTGCGAGCAGCATCTACGAAGGCCGGCACGGCACACGAGGGGGTGGGTGGCCAGCACCACACCCGACCGCCTTTGTCTCCCTAGTGGCGATGTTTACACACCACACCAGGTACTCATTTGAGGCTGAGTCGACCGAGCGAAAGCGCAGGACCGGTTCAGATGTGTGATGCTGATGTTGGCCGTGAGCGGGAATCAAACCTGGGTCGTCGGATTCGTAGCGCAGTGCGCTAACCAGTGTACCACCACTCCTCACAACATACCGCACCTAGGATTAGCATGGGCTGGTTGTGTACAATGTGAAATAAGTTCAAAATACAACAAGCGCCATTCGCCACTAAGTGGCGGTGAGGTCACCACGACGCTTGTGCCAGGCCATGTGCACCTTGAGGCCACGTGAAGTGTCGAACGCCCGCTGGCAGGAGGTCACGGGGCAGACTCAGGTGCTACGGGTCGACTGACTGAGACGACTGAGATGACTGGCTGATGCACCACCTGTGCCCCCTACTGTGCCAACTTGCTGTGCTTTAGCCACCCGGCGATCCGCTCGTTGTTGTGAGCGTCGCTCCTCCGCCCTCCATTGTTGTTGGAGGGCGACTGCCTCCAACTGCCCAGTAGCGTCCTTCACGAGCCTCCTCCACAGAGGCCGATCTTGACACCGCTGGTACCAGTCATCGGCAAGTCCACTCAGCTCCACGTCCTCCTGTACCACATCACTCCATCTCTTCTCTAGCCCGTGCCGCGCCCGTTTATCCCCCTCGATCCGGCCGAACAAAAGCTGTTTGGGCATGCGGTGGCTGGGCATGCGGGATACATGGCCCAGCCTAAATTCATACATACGCACACATACATTCAAGAACAACAGCCCTCCCCAGAGGTCGGAAACGGGTTTTGATTCCTTACCCGTACCCGTACCCGGCCGCACCAGGGTCGCAATCGGGTACCCGTACCCTACCCAGCTACCCGTACCCGTACCCGTACCCTACCCGTACCCGTACCCTACCCAGCTACCCGTACCCGGCCGGGTATCGGGTAGGGTACGGGTACGGGTACCCGATTGCGACCTCTGGGATGAAGCCATGTTGCAGGCGCGGGTGGGTTGATTCTAGGAACTTGAATTGTGAGAAGAGACAAGACGTTGGGAAATGAGTGACAAACGGTGACTCACCAGTGACTCACGGCCTACCCGTACCCGGCCGCACCAGAGCTCGCAAACGGCTACCCGTACCCGGCTGGGTACGGGCAGCCGGGTATCGGGTAGGGTACGGGTATCGGGTACCCGATTGCGACCTCTGGCCTTCCCCCACTTAAATGAACTCCGGTCATGCCCACAGCGGCTTGTGGCTAGCCACGGAACAAAGGCGGTGAGGTCAGCGCATCGCGCGCATTCAAATGCGCTTCTGCGGCCGTCTGGAACGCTCTTTCCTTTTCGATAATCAGGACGCCGCTGGGAGCTGTGCAACTTTTAAATCATCATCATCATCTAGATTGACAAACTCATTTTTTTAAGAACAGATTTTTGTGTTAAGTTTGTTTGTTGTCCTTACCCCCCCCCCGCACGTCCGATTAGCGCGGTTGGCTACGTACGGTGCGAAAGAAATTCAACATACTTACGTATCCGCGCCTTCTGTCTGTGTCCCATGTGTCCCCGATCATTAATCCCGTGCGTCTCCTATCCAGTGTCCTGTGTGTGTGTTCTGTGTGTGTGTGTCTCCTGTGTCTCATGTGTACGATTCATTGATTCATTCCGTGCGTCTCCTATCCAGTGTCCTGTGTTCGTGTTCTGTGTGTGTGTGTCTCCTGTGTCTCATGTGTACGATTCATTGATTCATTCCGTGCGTCTCCTATCCAGTGTCCTGTGTTTGTGTTCTGTGTGTGTGTCTGCTGTGTCTCGTGTGTACGATTCATTGATTCATTCCGTGCGTCTCCTATCCAGTGTCCTGTGTTTGTGTTCTGTGTGTGTGTCTCCTGTGTCTCATGTGTACGATTCATTGATTCATTCCGTGCGTCTCCTATCCAGTGTCCTGTGTTCGTGTTCTGTGTGTGTGTGTCTCCTGTGTCTCATGTGTACGATTCATTGATTCATTCCGTGCGTCTCCTATCCAGTGTCCTGTGTTTGTGTTCTGTGTGTGTGTCTCCTGTGTCTCATGTGTACGATTCATTGATTCATTCCGTGCGTCTCCTATCCAGTGTCCTGTGTTTGTGTTCTGTGTGTGTGTCTCCTGTGTCTCATGTGTACGATACATTGATTCATTCCGTGCGACCTCCTATCCTGTGTCCCGCGTCAGTCCCGTGCTGGTCCCCTCCCCCCGTACTCACAAAGCGAGATGAGTTGTCGTTCTTCACCGTCTTGGCGTTGCCGAACGCCTCCAGGATGGGATTGGCCTGCAGTAGCTGCTTCTCTAGCTCGCCCTGGAGTAGAGAGACACGGGGAGAGAGTAGAGAGACACGGGGTACAGAGTAGAGAGACACGGGGAGAGAGTAGAGAGACACGGGGAGAGAGTAGAGAGACACGGGGACAGAGTAGAGAGACACGGGGAGAGAGTAGAGAGACACGGGGGGAGAGTAGAGAGACACGGGGATAGAGTAGAGAGACACAGGACAGAGTAGAGAGATATGGGGTACAGAGTAGAGAGACACGGAGACGGTGCAGAGAGACAGATCAGGGAGACACAGAGATGTACAGGGAGACATGGGGTCGAGACAGAGACATAGGAAAGAGACACGGGGACACAGCGGGAAATGAAACAGAGAGACATGGGGACAGAACAGACAGACATTTCAGAGAGTTAATCAGGTTACTCGAAAGTGAGGCACGTTTATAACTCGGTGAGGTAGTAGGGTCAGAGTTAGGGTCAGGGTCAGTTCACGTGGATTCAAACAAACACAGTAAACTCATCCTTTTGTATTCATGGTTCTTTCGGTAAAGTCACGTGGATAGAAAATAAAAATAATGAAATAAAAATGTTAAATAATAAAGAATAAAAAGAATACATTGAAAATAATAAAATAAAATGTAAACATTTTTTTTATTAATTGAAAATAATAAAAGCAACAAAAAACCACGTCGTTTCGATCGCAATACAAGCGGAGGTAATTTTTTATATTTTTGTTTTCTATCAACGTGACTTTACCGAAATAACCAAGAATATGAATTCCTGGAGTCACGAAAGTTTTAAGTCAAAACTCATCCTTCTGTTTTGATCATCAAAATGTCTTGAATACGAAAAAAACGACAATGTGCAGAGAAGAAAACTTGAGAATTTCCCAGCATCTTGTTTCTTCCACTTCATGTACACGACCACCAGGGCATTGTTTCCATTGGAAACCGGCAAGAACTAGGCTCATGTGATACCCCAAAACAGGGGTGGGGAACCTTTTTCTGCCAAGGACCATTTGGATATTTATAACATCATTCGCAGGCCGTACAAAATTAAATTTTTGTTGCTATGAAAAAAGTGCCTAGATTGTTTTTATTTCGAGTCATGCGGTTGCCTTGGCAGGGCCAGACCAAATGATTTCGCGGGCCTTATACGGCCCGCGAAATCATGCCCTGTTTCCAAGGTAACCAGTCAAGCGGTTAGCTAATGTGGTACTCTAGAGGGAACTCAATCCTTGTTTCCAAGGTAACCAGTCAAGCGGTTAGCTAATGTGGTACTCTAGAGGGAGCTCAGGCCTTGTTTCAAAGGCAAACATTCAAGCTTTAGGCTTATGAGGTATCCTAGAGGAAACCAGGCCTCGTTTCCTAGGAAACCAGGCCTTGTTTGCTGGGATACCCGGCCTCGTTTCCTTGGAAACCAGGCTTCGTTTCCAAGGAAACCAGACCTAATTTCCTTGGAAGTCAGGCCTCGTTTCCTGGAAACCAGGCCTTGTTTGCTTGGAAACCAGGCCTCGTTTGTTTGGAAACCAGGCCTCATTAACTAAGAAACCAGGCCTCGTTTCCTAGGAAACCAGGCCTCGTTTCCTAGGAAACCAGACCTCGTTTCCTAGGAAACCAGACCTCGTTTGCTAGGAAACCAGACCTCGTTTCCTAGGAAACCAGAACTCGTTTGCTAGGAAACCAGACCTCGTTTCCTAGGAAACCAGACCTCGTTTGCTAGGAAACCAGACCTCGTTTCCTAGGAAACCAGACCTCGTTTGCTAGGAAACCAGACCTCGTTTCCTAGGAAACCAGACCTCGTTTGCTAGGAAACCAGACCTCGTTTCCTAGGAAACCAGACCTCGTTTGCTAGGAAACCAGACCTCGTTTCCTAGGAAACCAGACCTCGTTTGCTAGGAAACCAGACCTCGTTTCCTAGGAAACCAGACCTCGTTTGCTAGGAAACCAGACCTCGTTTCCTAAGAAACCAGACCTCGTTTCCTAGGAAACCAGACCTCGTTTCCTAGGAAACCAGACCTCGTTTGCTAGGAAACCAGACCTCGTTTCCTAGGAAACCAGACCTCGTTTCCTAGGAAACCAGACCTCGTTTCCTTGGAAACCAGGCCTCGTTTCCTAGGAAACCAGACCTCGTTTGCTAGGAAACCAGGCCTCGTTTCCTTGGAAACCAGACCTCGTTTCCTTGGAAACCAGGCCTCGTTTCCTAGGAAACCAGACCTCGTTTGCTAGGAAACCAGGCCTCGTTTCCTTGGAAACCAGACCTCGTTTCCTAGGAAACCAGACCTCGTTTCCTAGGAAACCAGACCTCGTTTCCTAGGAAACCAGACCTCGTTTCCTTGGAAACCAGGCCTCGTTTCCTAGGAAACCAGACCTCGTTTCCTAGGAAACCAGACCTCGTTTCCTAGGAAACCAGACCTCGTTTGCTAGGAAACCAGACCTCGTTTCCTAGGAAACCAGAACTCGTTTGCTAGGAAACCAGACCTTGTTTCCTAGGAAACCAGACCTCGTTTGCTAGGAAACCAGACCTCGTTTCCTAGGAAACCAGACCTCGTTTGCTAGGAAACCAGACCTCGTTTCCTAGGAAACCAGACCTCGTTTCCTAGGAAACCAGACCTCGTTTCCTTGGAAACCAGGCCTCGTTTCCTAGGAAACCAAGCCTCGTTTGCTTGGAAACCAGGCCTTGTTTGCTAGGAAACCAGGCCTCGTTTCCTGGGAAACGAGCAGCACTTGCCGTGATGGTGTTGTCCTTCTTGCTCTTGTGGGACGAGGTGACGTGGGCCAGGAACTGGATGACCTTCTTGGTGTTTTCGGTTTTCCCAGCGCCGGACTCGCCACTGAGATCCCAGCGACAAGCGCGTGCGGGCGCCACGCAGGAGAGACAGCGAGAATGTCAACGAAGAGTAATTCTCGAGAGAGAGAGAGATGTTGTGATGGAGCAGAACAAGGCACCGAACATAACGTACTCAAATGGTACTCAAATTGTAATGGTACTCAAATTGTAAATGTTGTGGTTTTGCGCTTCAACACACCGGTGGGCTAAAGCAGTGAACTATTTGTCTTTTGTAAACGTGACACTTTTTTACTGATTGGCCGTGTCGGGTGGTGGAGGGTTACGACACATTTATAAATAACGCGATCTAAACCCAAAAACGTTGATTATGAATAATGTTTATGCTGGGGACATTGGATGTGACTCAAGAGTCTGGGGGAAGGCGGCGAATTGAAATTCCACGGGCAATCGGAAGGATTTGGGCGCGATTGGGAGGATAATCCAATGCAGAGAGTACTTGAGAAATGACACGAGACATAGCGAGAGATGGACTAACATTGCCCATAGACTAACATTGCCCATAGACTAACATTACTAACATTGCCCCTGGACTAACATTGCCCATGGACTAACATTGCCCATAGACTGCCATTACTAACATTGCCCATGGACTAACATTGCCCATAGACTAACATTGCCCATGGACTAACATTTCCCATAGACTAACATTGCCCATGGACTAACATTGCCCATGGACTAACATTGCCCATAGACTAACATTGCCCATGGACTAACATTGCCCATAGACTAACATTGCCCATAGACTAACATTGCCCATAGACTAACATTGCCCATGGACTAACATTGCCCATAGACTAACATTGCCCATGGACTAACATTGCCCATAGACTGCCATTACTAACATTGCCCATAGACTAACATTGCCCATTGACTAACATTGCCCATAGACTAACATTGCTTGCAGACTAACATTGCCCATATATTTCGATTTAAAGCTTTCGTGACTGCAGGGATTCGTCTTCTTGGTTCTTTCGGTAAAGTCACGTAGAAGGGAAATAATAAAATAATAAAAATCAAACATAATAATGGTTGACGTCCCCGCCGCCTTTATTATATTATTTTATTATATTATTATAATATTATTTTATTTTAATATATTATTTTATTATATTATTTTATTATTATATTATATTATTGGTTTATTGTTTATTATATTATTTTATTATGTTTTATTTTTATTGTTTTATTATTTCCCTTCTACGTGACTTTACCGAAAGAACCAAGAAGATTGCCCATATACTGCCATTTCCTGTAGACTAGCAATTCCCATACGCTAACATTTCCCATAGACTAACATTGCCCATATACTGCCATTCCCGTAGACTATCATTGCCCATACACTAACATTGCCCATAGGCTAAGAGGTTGTCGAGTTTTTATCAAGGGCAGAGCTGAATTGAAGGAATGAAGACCGCCGTAGCCAACGTCTGTGCGAAAGGAACGCGGCTCACGTGGAGAAAAAGAGAGAGAAAGAGAGGAGAGAGACATTTACTTTGCACGAGAGATGAAAACGCCGGAGACGATAGCCACGTTTGTGGGGGTGGAGTGGCAGCCTGGTTTTCGTTAAACACCACGGCCCAAATCCTTTGACCCCTCCTTGACCCCACCACCTCCAGCGACTCATGCCGAGTGGCGGCACGAACAAAACACTTTACGAGTGTAGGTTTACAAAAGACGCCGGACACATTAGGAATTGCCGGAGATGCCGGATGTCGATGCCATCGCTTGCAGAGTCCGACCCGAATGCTCGTGGCGCTTAGAGCCTTGTACCGGTCAACACGCGGCTTAACATGAGTGTGTGTGTGCATGTCGGAGAGAGTTTGTATGTGGTGGGAGGGGGTGGGGGGGTATCGTGTGAATCCATAGGGTTTACTCTGTATTGTTGTACACTACGCTACACACTACACTATGAAACACTAGACTATTATACACTACACTATACACTACACTACACACTACTATACACTACACTACTATACACTACACTACTATATAATACACTATACACTACACTACTATACACTACACTATACACTACACTATTATACACTATACACTACACTACACACTACACTACGAAACACTAGACTGCTATACACTACACTATACACTACACTATACACAACACTACTATACACTACACTACGAAACACTACACTACTATACACTACACTATACACTACACTACTATACACTACACTACTATACACTACACTATACACTACACAATACACTCACTATACTACTATACACTACTAAACACTACACTACTATGCACTACACTAAAAACGACACTATACACTACACTACATTATACACTACACTACTATACACTACACTACTAAACATTACACTACTAAACATTACACTACTATACACTACACCAAACACTACACTACTATACATTACACTATACTCTACACTACTATACACTACACTACTATACACTACACTACTATACACTACACTACTATACACTACACTATACACTACACAATACACTCACTATACTACTATACACTACTAAACACTACACTACTATGCACTACACTAAAAACTACACTATACACTACACTACATTATACACTACACTACTATACACTACACTACTAAACATTACACTACTAAACATTACACTACTATACACTACACCAAACACTACACTACTATACATTACACTATACTCTACACTACTATATACTACACTATACACTACACTACTATACACTACACTATACACTACTATACACTACACTACTATACACTATACACTAAAAACTACACTATACACTACACTACATTATACACTACACTACTATACACTACACTACTAAACACTACACTACTAAACATTACACTAATATACACTACACCAAACACTACACTACTATACATTACACTATACTCTACACTACTATTTACTACACTATACACTACACTACTATACACTACACTATACTCTACACTACTATACACTACACTACTATACCATAGTATACCCATATGGGTTTACCCCGTATTCTTGTACAGGGGAATTGAGTTTGCAGGTCCATACTGCGTACAGCCGTTTCAATAAGGGCACAAACAACAACAAATGTGTTGTCTATTTGTTTATTGTTTATTCCTTGCGATGGGACTTTGTAGGATAAACGTTGAGATGTATAAGGTGCACGGGTTGACCAATCAGGTCTGCTGATGACGATGTTGCTGATGATGCTGATGATTTTACCCGTAAAAACAAAGTTTTTCACTATAAATCCTTTATATGCGTGGCATCGGTTTTATTTTATTATTCATTTCTGTTTTTCTTGAGTAAGAGTTTCATTTTAATCACATTGGAATTTTAAATTAAATATAAGGAAAGTCGTATATAAGGATTATAAGGTTTTCAGTTTTTGTATGATTGTTTATATTGTACATTTTTGTTGTTTTCTTGAATAATTTTCTGTGTTTAGGAAAAATATATGATTGTGTTAGTGAAATTTTTTTTTCCTAAAAAGTGGAAAATTTTGGAAAAAAATTTTCACGAAAATAAATTGTCACGCAAAACGAGTCTGTGTGCAAAATGTCAGCTCGATTGGATCACGGGAAGTGGGTTAAAAACGACCGAAAGATTTGCACGGTCGTAAGCGCGCAAGCAAGCAAGTGAACTTAATATAAAGGATTTAAAAAATTAACCCGTAAAAACAAAGTTTTTCACTATAAATCCTTTATGTGCGTGGCATCGGGGCGGTTAGAGTCCTCTTGTCCTCTGGCTTGAGATGGCTGCCACCTATGGGTCAGATGATTGTCTGCCAGTATTAAGCAATTGGTAATTAAATATTTAATTTGTTTTCCCTAAACAGTGTAAAAGTTTGGAGAGAAAAAAATCACGAACATTAATTGTCTCGCACAACGAGTCTGTGTGCAAAATGTCAGCTCGATTGGATCACGGGAAGTGGGTTAAAAAACGACCGAAAGATTTGCACAGTCGTAAGCACGCAAGCAAGCAAGCGAACTGAATATAAAGGATTTAAAAAGGCAGGGCACTGATAAGGGGTTGACAGGTAATCGGTTAGCGAGCTGCACTACGAACCTGGCGACCCGAGTTCGATTCCCGCTCACGGCCAACACCAGTATGACGATTATCTGAACCGGTCCTGGGCCTCCTCTAGGTCGACTCAGCCTCAAATGAGTATATGGTGCGGTGTGTAAACATCGCCACTAGGGAGACAAAGGCGGCCGGGCGTGGTGGTGCTGGCCACCCACCCCCTCTCGTGTGCCGTGCCGGCCTTCATAGGTGCTACTCGCTAACAGCACTTGCCCCTACAGTCTGTTAAGGCTACACGGGGGATCTTTGTCTTTGTGCATGCTACTCACGTGCAAAGGATGGACTGATCTTCACGATCTACAACGCAAACAAAAACACAAGCGAGTCGTTAGTAAATTGCTGTAATTACAACTTGATAATAATGACAACTATTTACCCAAAGCCTCACCAAGTCTCAGGGCAAGGATGGCTGTGTGGATGAAAATGATCAAGCGTCAAGATGACTGTGACTCTCCCCTACCCACCGATAGCAACACCATCATCACCATCATCATCACCATCATCATCATTACCATCATCATCACCACCATCATCATCACCACCACCACCATTACCATCACCACCATCATCATCACCACCATCATCATCATCACCATCATCATCACGACCATCATCATTACCATCATCATCATCACCATCATCATCATCACCACCACCATCATCACCATCATCATCACCATCATCATCATTACCATCATCATCACCACCATCATCATCATCATCACCACCACCACCATTACCACTATCACCACCATCATCATCATCACCACCACCACCACCGTTACCACCATCACCACCATCATCACCATCATCATCACCACCATCATCACCATCATCATCATCATCACCACCACCATCATCATCACCACCATCATCACCATCATCATCATCACCACCATCATCACCATCATCATCACCACCACCATCATCATCATCATCACCACCACCATCATCATCATCACCACCACCATTACCACCATCACCATCACCAGTAGTGGGGGGTGAGTGTGGTGGTGGTGGTGTGTGGGTGAGTGTGGGGGTGAGTGTGTTGGTGGGGTGGGTTGAGTGTGCTGGTGGTGGTGTTGGTGGGGGGGGGGGGTGAGCACGTGTCACCCTGCAGCATGCTGTGGTAGGCGGTGATGGCGTAGATGTGCGGTGGCATCTCGTGGTGGTGGATGGGTGAATGTGGTAGTGTGGTGGGTGAGTGTGCTGGTGGGTGGATGGGTGAGTGTGCTGGTGGGTGGGTGTGCTGGTGATGTTGGTGGGGGTGAGTGTGGTGGTGGATGGGTGAGTGTGGTGGTGGGGGGGTGAGTGTGGTAGCAGTGGGGGTGAGTGTGGTAGTAGTGGGGGTGAGTGTGGTGGTGGGGGTGGGTGAGTGTGCTGGTGGTGGGGGGTGAGTGTGCTGGTGGGGGGGTGGGTGAGTGTACTGGTGGGGGGGGGTGGGTGTGGTGGTGGGTGGGTGAGTGTGCTGGTGGGTGAGTGTGCTGGTGGGTGAGTGTGCTGGTGGGTGAGTGTGCTGGTGGTGGGTGGGTGAGTGTGGTAGTAGTGGGGGTGAGTGTGCTGGTGGTGGTGGGGTGGTGAGTGTGCTGGTGGGTGGGTGAGTGTGGGGGTGAGTGTGTTGGTGGGGTGGGTTGAGTGTGCTGGTGGTGGATGGGTGAGTGTGCTGGTGGGTGAGTGTGCTGGTGGGTGAGCACGTGTCACCCTGCAGCATGCTGTGGTAGGCGGTGTCGGTGATGGCGTAGATGTGCGGCGGCATCTCGTGACGTTTCCTGCCCCGGTACATCTCCACGATCTTCTCCGAGTAGATGGGCAGGAACTTGTACGGGTTCACCACCACGCAGAAGAGGCCCGAGTACGTCTACGCAGCGGCCACCACATCATCAGCATCAGCAGCAACATCGTCATCAGCAACATCATCATCAGCAACATCATCATCAGCACCATCATCAGCAGCAGCAACATCGGCAGCAACATCGTCATCAGCAACATCATCATCAGCAGCAACATCATCATCAGCAACATTGCAATCAGCAACATCATCATCAGCAACATCATCATCATCAACATCGTCATCAGCAACATCGTCATCAGCAACATCGTCATCAGCAGCAACATCATCAGCAGCAGCAACATCATCATCAGCATCATCATTAGCAACATTGCAATCAGCAACAACGTCATCAGCAACATCATCATCAGCAGCAACATCGTCATCATCATCAGCAACATCGTCATCATCAGCGTAATCAGCATTTGCGTAATCAACAACAACATCACCACCACCACGCAGAACAGTCCAGAGTATATCTACACAGCGTCATCAGCAGCAGGAGCATCATCATCATCATCAGCAGCAGCATCATTATCATCAGCAACATCAGCAACATCATCATCATCAGCAGCATCAGCAACATCATCATCATCAGCAGCATCAGCATCATCATCAACAACATCATCATCAGCAGCATCATCAGCATCATCATCATCAGCATCGTCAGCATCATAATCAGCATCATCATCAGCAACATCATCATAAACATCATCATCAGCAGCATCATCCTGACGCCTGCTGCTGTACATTTGGAGATTGCGTGTCTCTCTCTCTCATCATCATCATCATCACGGTGGCTGGGAGATGTTAACTACCTCGCCTGGTGTACAGGAGGTCGTGGGTTCGATCCCGACTCTGACGACACCTGTTGTGTATTCGGAGTTCACGGTGTCTCTCTCTCCCCGTGGTCGCGCTGCTGTAGTATATAGTGTAGTGTATAGTAGTGTATAGTGTAGTGTATAGTGTAGTGTATAGTAGTGTATAGTGTAGTGTATAGTGTAGTGTATAGTAGTGTATCGTGTAGTGTATAGTAGTGTATAGTATCGTGTATAGTATCGTGTATAGTGTAGTGTATAGTATCGTGTGTAGTGTATAGTAGTGTATAGTGTAGTGTATAGTAGTGTGTAGTGTAGTAGTGTGTAGTGTAGTAGTGTGTAGTGTATAGTATAGTGTAGTGTATAGTAGTGTATAGTGTAGTGTATAGTAGTGTATAGTGTAGTGTATAGTAGTGTATAGTGTAGTGTATAGTGTAGTGTATAGTGTAGTGTACAGTAGTGTATAGTGTATAGTAGTGTATAGTGTAGTGTATAGTGTAGTGGATAGTGTAGTGTATAGTGTAGTGTATGGTAGTGTATAGTGTAGTGTATAGTGTAGTGATAAGTGTAGTGTATAGTGTAGTGTATAGTGTAGTAGTGTATAGTGTAGTAGTGTATAGTAGTGTATAGTGTAGTAGTGTATAGTAGTGTATAGTGTAGTAGTGTATAGTAGTGTATAGTGTAGTAGTGCATAGTGTAGTAGTGTATAGTGTAGTAGTGTATAGTAGTGTATAGTGTAGTAGTGTATAGTAGTGTATAGTGTAGTCTATAGTGTAGTGTATAGTAGTGTATAGTGTAGTGTATAGTGTAATGTATAGTGTAGTAGTGTATAGTGTAGTGTATAGTAGTGTATAGTGTAGTGTATAGTAGTGTATAGTGTAGTCGTGTATAGTGTAGTCGTGTATAGTGTAGTGTATAGTGTAGTGTATAGTGTATAGTAGTGTATAGTGTAGTGTATAGTAGTGTATAGTGTAGTGTATAGTGTAGTGTATAGTAGTGTATAGTGTAGTGTATAGTAGTGTATAGTGTAGTTTCTAGTTTCTAGTGTATAGTAGTGTATAGTAGTGTATAGTGTAGTGTGTAGTGTAGTGTACAGTAGTGTATAGTGTAGTGTATAGTAGTGTATAGTGTATAGTAGTGTATAGTGTATAGTAGTGTATAGTGTATAGTAGTGTATAGTGTAGTGTATAGTAGTGTATAGTGTAGTGTATAGTAGTGTATAGTGTAGTGTATAGTAGTGTAGTGTATAGTAGTGTATAGTGTAGTGTATAGTAGTGTAGTGTATAGTAGTGTATAGTGTAGTGTATAGTAGTGTATAGTGTAGTGTATAGTGTAGTGTATAGTAGTGTATAGTGTAGTGTATAGTATAGTGTATAGTAGTGTAGTGTATAGTAGTGTATAGTAGTGTATAGTGTAGTGTATAGTGTAGTGTAGTGTATAGTAGTGTTTAGTAGTGTAGTGTATAGTATAGTAGTGTATAGTAGTGTATAGTGTAGTGTATAGTGTAGTGTATAGTAGTGTATAGTAGTGTATAGTGTAGTGTATAGTAGTGTCTAGTAGTGCAGAGCTGGAGTCTGTCTCCAGGACAGGCGGGCGGACTGAGACACGAGCTAACCTACGTTTAGAGTCATTCGCCTGCCGTAAATTTCCACGCAAAATGTTGTGAAGCCCCTTCCATTGAGCCATCGTTTACCTGGTCGCTTCTAAAAGAAACGAGCTACATTACTCACTGGGGGCCTTATAACTGGTGATGTGGCTAACGAGGCATCGTCTAGATCAGGGGTAGGGAACGTCCCGTACAAGGCCCGCGAAATCATTTGGGTCTGGCCCTGCCAAGGCAACCGCAGACAGGACTCGAAATTCAACAAGCCTCTAGGAGCAACCCTGGAAAAGCAGTTGCGAGTAGCAGCAACATCATCATCAATACCAGCTAACATCACACGCGCCTCGCCCAAAGAGCAGCAGTTCCAGCCCATCGCGTTAGGGGCGAGTTAATTCAACGTTTGACCAAACATAACGGACTAATTTTTTAAGTTGATAATGTTTTATGGCCCCGCAAATGATGTTATCAATATCCAAACGGCCCTTTGGCAGAAACAAGGTTCCTCACCCCCTGGTCTAGATGCTTGAGTCTATTTTCAGTGCCAAAAGTTTCACGAAGTTTGTGATTGCTGCTGCTCAGAGCACAAACTCTGTCTGAGTTGGACTCATGCTGCTGTTGCTGCTGCTGATGGTTCTGGTGGTGGAGTTCCCGGTTGACACCTTCCTGCTGATTCACTCACTCACTCACTAACTCACCCACCCACCCACTCATTAACACACCCACACACTCGCTCACCCACACAGCCACTCGCCCACCCGCTCGCTCACTCACTGACTGACCCACTCACTCACTAATTCAGCCACTCACTCGCTCGCTCACTCACTCACCCACTCACTTACTAACACACCCACTCGCCCACACACCCACACACTCGCTCGCTCACCCACTCACTCACCCAGTGACTGATGATACAGCACTCTGATTCACTCACTCACTCACCACTCACACATCTACTCACTAACTCACCCACCCACCCACTCATTAACACACCCACCCACTCGCTCACCGACACAGCCACTCGCCCACTCGCTCGCTCACTCACTCACTGACTGACCCACTCACTCACGAATTCACTCACTCGCTCGCTCACTCACTCGCCCACTCACTCGCCCACCCACCCACCCACTCATTAACACACCCACCCACTCGCTCACCCACACAGCCACTCGCCCACCGGCTCGCTCACTCACTGACTGACCCACTCACTCACTAATTCTGCCACTCACTCGCTCGCTCAATCACTCGCCCACTCACTAACTCACCCACCCACCCACTCATTAACACACCCACCCACTCGCTCACCCACACACCCACTCGCCCACACACCCACACACACACTCGCTCGCTCACCCACTCACCCAGTGACTGATGATACAGCACTCTGATTCACTCACTCACTCATCACTCCACACTCACTCACCATCCACTCAGTCACTAACTCACCCACCCACTCACACATCCACTTACAAACTCACCCACCCACTCACACATTTACTCACTAACTCACCCACTCACTCACCACCCACCCAGTCACTAACTCACCCACCTACTCACACATCTTCTCACTAACTGACCCACCCACTCACACATCTACTCACTAACTCACACACCCACTCACACACCTACTAACTCACCTACCCACTCACACATCTACTCACTAACTCACCCACTCACTCGCACATCTACTCACCAACTCACCCACCCACCCACTCACACATCTACTCACTAACTCACCCACCCACTCACACATCTACTCACTAACTCACCCACCCACTCACACACCTACTAACTCACCTACCCACTCAAACATCTACTTACTAACTCACCCACTCACTCGCACATCTACTCACCAACTCACCCACCCACCCACTCACACATCTACTCACTAACTCACCCACCCACTCACACATCTACTCACTAACTCACCCACCCACTCACACATCTACTCACTAACTCACCCACCCACTCACACACCTACTTACTAACTCACCCACTCACTCGCACATCTACTCACCAACTCACCCACCCACCCACTCACACATCTTCTCACTAACTCACCCATTCACTCACACATCTACTTACTAACTCACCCACCCACTCACACATCAACTTACTAACTCACCCACTCACTCGCACATCTACTTACCAACTCACCCACCCACCCACTCACACATCTACTCACTAACTGACCCACCCACTCACACATCTACTCACTAACTCACCCACCCACTCACACACCTACTAACTCACCTACCCACTCACACATCTACTCACTAACTCACCCACTCACTCGCACATCTACTCACCAACTCACCCACCCACCCACTCACACATCTACTCACTAACTGACCCACCCACTCACACATCTACTCACTAACTCACCCACCCACTCACACACCTACTAACTCACCTACCCACTCAAACATCTACTTACTAACTCACCCACTCACTCGCACATCTACTCACCAACTCACCCACCCACCCACTCACACATCTACTCACTAACTCACCCACCCACTCACACATCTACTCACTAACTCACCCACCCACTCACACATCTACTCACTAACTCACCCACCCACTCACACACCTACTAACTCACCTACCCA